GAGAGAGAGAGAGGGGAGAAATGATGCCAATTAGATGAGACTTTGTATGCAGCAGAACAGAATTAAGTGAGAGCACATCACACTTCAAGAAGAAATGGAAAATTGAAAATCAATTTTATTGGTGAGTGAAGAAACTCTGGTTTATGCATCTAAAAGCTCTCTCTTTTTACCTCTCTCAAATGAAACTTGAGCAGCTTGGAGCCTTGGAGAGAAAATGGAGAGTGATTTGGACCTATGCTTTCGAAGCTGCACAGCCAAATGTTTTTTCATTATTATCTAAAATCAGGCAAGGATACAATAAAAAATGGTGCAAAACTGATTATTGCCACTAAAAGGGGTTAGACGAATATATTCACTAAGAGTACTTTTAAGTGACTTCAATTTTCATTTCTCTGGATTGGTACTTCTATGTGTTTATAACTAGCACTGAAATTTCGTAACCTATCAACAGAGACCAATCTCTCAAACGATGCCTGTTTTGGAGGTGAACATAGCTGAGACATCTTTTCTACAATTTTACGTATGTTTCCCAGGCACTGGACCCAGTAAAGGCACCCAAGTATCTAACATTATAGATTTGCTCTTCATCTCTCTCGCCCTCTCTATTAGTCATCAACAACACAATAACAGTGATAGATATCTTCAAACAAGCAAAGGATACCCAGTTTCCAATATCCATGTATCATAGATGCTCTTGCTAGAACAAGATGATCGTCATCATCAGACCAGTGATAAGTATCTTACTTGAGCATCTTCTGTGGAATTGGCTTCGCTATCTGATGAATCTTCACTCTTCTTTCCTTCTACCAATAAAAGAAGAATAGCCATTCAATAAGCATACTAATTTTCACTTGATAATTTGACTGAAGTAACACATGACTTTAACACAAGGGAAGTGATAATACATTACCTGGCCTCAAAGAATAAATGAAAGAAGCAATGTGGTAACTTTTATAGGATGATTATGAATAAACCAACTGTGATAGAAAGTGCAAAGAAGTAACACATGTCTTTAACACAAGGGAAACGATAATACATTATCTGGACTCGAAGAATGAATGAAGGAAGCAATGTGGTAACTTTTATAGGACGATTATGATTAAACCAACCATGATAGAAAGTGCAAAGAAGATAGCTCAGCTCAGCTAAGTAGCTTCCAGATACTTATAATCAAACCTTGGAAATAGTCAGATTTCTCTGGCATCTCTTTGCTATCTTCTATTCCCTGATTAAGAGAGGCCTCTTTGGGAAGCATAAAGTGAGGTTGTTGAACCATTTCGTCATCTGCAACAGTTTGTGCGGTTTCAGCACCGTTTTTACTTGGTTTCCAAAATAAGGTTTCATCAAATCAATAAGAAAATCACTATCCTTCAAAAAAAGAAACATAATCCACATACATTATGTTAGAATGAAGAATTGGTGATGTGCTTTTGCATGATAGTCCAACAGAAACTAGCTTAGAACCATAATTATAAAGTTACATTTCATGACCTTTGAGTATTTTGAGAGAGAGAGAAAGGTGGGGGGGAGGGGTGGTAGGGATGGGAGAGAGTTGGCAGTTGCATATATACAACTACCTAATTCATCATTTGATTGGTTCACCACCAATTTTATGGCAGCTGGGTGTGGATTGAGATCGAGAACCATCGCTGTCACTCTTGCAGAACCCATAGAATGCCTAGCAATGGCTAGATCCAGCCATCCCTATAACAAAGACAACTTAAAAAATGTTATAACTTGAAAATTGAATGAAAAAGTAAGAACCATCCAAAAGAAAAAGAAGAAAAAAGAACACCACCACAGTAGAACCATATTCTTTTCATGTGCAATGATCAGTTTAAAACTAGAAAGTAGATGGGCCATAAGCAATGTGTGTGTCACTCCAGTACCATTTGATTACGTGGTCAGTGCCCTACGTTTTAAAGCCTTGCATTGATTGGGTCGTGCTGGGCTGAAACTTACATGACGTTAGACCACATGGGCGTTCTACCTGATAGTTCCTCTCTCTTCAAATTCCAAAAAGCAGGTGCGAGAATGAGGACAACTATTAAGATAACAAGCAAGATTTCTTAATAACTTTGAAGATTGTTGGTGGCTTTTGTTTTCATCACTCTAAATAGCCATGGGCTTCTTGGAATATCTTCAAATTCCAAAAAGCAGGTGCGAGAATGAGAACAACTATTAAGATAACAAGTAAGATTTTTGAATAACTTTGAAGACTGTTGGTGGCTGTTGTTTTCATCACTCTAAATTGCCACAGGCTTCTTGGAATATCTAAACCTAATCAGAATTGGCACATTTTATTCATAAGAAGCCCTTTTGGTAATAACTCTATCTGAACCCAATCGTCTATAAATTGCAGATTCGATCACTGAACAAATCTTATCATATTGATGGAGCAATGGATATCAGGATTGGCAAATTCTTTTACTTTGATCTCGGTGCTCTTAATTTCCACAAAGGGGGGAAAACAACTAGATCATTCAATTGATGCAATATAACATCATAAGCATGTCAAATAAGCATAAGTGAATCTCGTTACAACTTATAAGCATTTCATGAATAGCACAACCAACCACAAAAACTATTTCATAGATGTGATCTTATCACACGAATTTCCATATTTTTAACTAACTCCCAGCCACAAACATTTCACGAAGTTATCAAACAAGGAAACAATAGAAAAATGGAACATCTTAAAGCAAAAAGGACAAAACCATCCTATACCTCATTATTGGGTGTCTATTGAACTTTCAACACGATGCAAAGGAAATAAATAAATAAATAAAATAAAATCTGATTCAAATTTTCAATCCTCGAGGCGAACAGTGACATATCCAAGAAACCCAATGAGATATGTAGGGGGAAAAAAAAGATATTGGGCATGCTAGAGAGAGAACATTGCAATAGAAATAGAATAGAAGATAAACATTGGAAATGAAAGAGAGAGATACTTGTTGGATAACATTCACACTGGAGAGAGAGAGAGAGAGAGAGAGAGAGAGACTGTGTTCGTCCTGAACATGAAGTGGGACACGTACCTGGCGTAAAGTGAGAGATAGGGAATCTTGTAGAAAAAGAAAATCATCCATGGAATCCAAGAATTGCAGAACATCAGCATCCTGGCCATTGACACTTAAAGATCCAGCAAGCTCCATTGATATCCTTCTCCCAAGCTATGATAGAGAGGCACCACAGCCAAGGTAAGGGCACAATAGTCAGTCAAAAAATGCCTTGTTAGTTTACAAGCAAGGGCACGTGCGTTGCACGTGATTGTAATATAACACAAAGGAAGAAGTTCAAGAATCATTCTATTACAAAGTACATGAAAGCATATTTGTAATTAACAGACAAGCAAGCAAAACAAATTTTAAGTATTATCTTTTGAAGAACATGCTACAAAAATGGTAATATCAGATCATATGGTATGATTGCAACAATTTAGCCCTTCAGCATAATAGAAATTTCAGAATAAGGAGACTCCTGTAAAGTAGTTCATTAGTGTATATTCAGCCTTTAAATTAAATTAGTTTTCCAGAATACAGCTCATCATAACTTTTCCTGCTACTGCATTGATGTAGCCCCCCAGAAGGCAGGAAGCCTGCGTATAAAGGGAGTATGGCAAGTCATCTTCCTGAAGGATAGGATAGAATTATAAAATCAGTGTTAGCAATTCTGACACATGAATACTAGAATTATCCATTATTCATTTAAATTTTTCTCTTGAACATATATATTCTCATATATACTCCACAAAATTCTCACAAAACTCTCATTCCAACTCCAACAGCCACACAATCAAGACCTGTTAATTCAAACCTAATAAGAGTCTAATCAATTTCAGCGTCTAACTCAATGCGATGCAGCTATTCGTCCAATCAGTAGATTTCAGAGCTAAATCACACACTTTTTCAGATAAGATTAAAGATAACTTCCAAGAAAATAGTTATATTACAAAATCAATCCTTTCCGTCACTGACCAATGGAGGAACAGATGGAAGAAAAGGAATTGGAGGTTGGTATTCAATCAACAGATAACCTTTCGGGACTCCCTCCCTACCTCCCTCTAGGTGTCTTATTTTGTTGTTAGGTTAGTGTCTTTTCTTTTAGTTTTTCTTACAATGAACTCCATCACTGTCAAATTACATCTTCCCACGCATACTGTTTGTCATCAGAAGGTTCACGAAGAGAAGGAATAAAAGATTCTACCAGGGACTTGGAACAAATCACGCAAATGTTCTCAGCTTATTTAATTGGTTATGACAGCCATTGATCTCATACAAGGATGAGCTTTTTTTTCCAATTCGTTTATCTCAAGAACTTTAGCCGAACTTCTTGAATAAATATTCACTGCTTTCCCAACATTGTAGATGCTCTTGGGACTGCTTTTCCAACATTGTAGAAATATGCTCTTGGGACAGCAGAAAACATGATGCTAATAGGGTAAACCTCTTTATGGTTTCGTGAATTTTAGTGGATGGTTAAACCCTATTGGCATTTAAAATGGCATTATAGGGGTGAAGAATTGGAGGTCTATTGGCATTTAAAATTGCATTATAGGGGTGAAGAATTGGAGGTCTATTGGCATTTAAAATTGCATTATAGGGGTGAAGAATTGGAGGTCTATTGGCATTTAAAATTGCATTATAGGGGTGAAGAATTGGAGGTCTATTGGCATTTAAAATTGCATTATAGGGGTGAAGAATTGGAGGTTTTGAAAGATACAATTAAGCCTTCTGCTAATTAGGAACCTGGCATGTTAATGTGTGACTGCTAATTAAGGCCTTGCAAGCACTTTAGAGTTTAGACAATAAGGAACATAGTATTTCAATGTGGCCCTTACTCCTATTGGATTTACTTTATTCATGCTGGGGTGCTCATGGTACAGGTAAGAGGGAGCAAGGCAAAAAGTGAAGCTGCAGAATCAACTTCAACCATATGATGGGATAGGATTAATAGAGTTTTCTTGTTTTGGTTTTTGTATTCTTTCTCCTTCTTTGTCTTTTTTTAATGTTTTAAGTTGAGACCTGGTGAGAATGGAATTTTTTATGTTATGTTGTGGAACCGCCACCCCAAACAACTATGCCTAGAGACGATTCTCTTTGTTCATTGGATTCTCAATGTATTAACCTGTTACAGGCTGAGAAGGAAGTTACAGAAGGCGGAATTGAAGTTCTGGGCACAAAAAATTATGTTAATTCTGCAATTTATAGAACTTGGTAATTTTGAAGAAACATGCAAAATGAACTTCTTGTAGGCATTTGCAATTGTTACTATGGAAGCATAAACTGAGCTTCTTTTCTTGGAGTCTCTATTATCCATTCTGAGCTCATGGAAATGCTAAAATCTTTTCGATACTATAGATAATGAGTTTCTAATGCTGCTTGTCATTTATCTATAGGTGGGTTATAAATGATTTGAAGTGAGTAAAATTGTTTCCGGCAGTTGACATATGGTTCTTAATGTAATCAAATAGATGGTTGAGAAATTGTTTCTGGCAATTGATAAATCCCTATATCTTTTCTCACTACTTCCATCTATGTCCTTTTGGGCATTCCCCTTGCCCTTTTAGAGCCTTCTAGGTCAAATAGTAGCATGAGCACATTGTAACCAAGACTGTAATATCCTTAAGTAAACCTCAATCATGCATTAAATTCAAACCAAGAGCACTCAATTCTCTACCAAAATGTAGAGTTTTGCCTAAATGCCATCAGACTCTATGCGATAATTTTCATAATTTTCAGCATAGCAGCTTATCCTTACTTAAGAATCACTGCAAAGCATAAACAACAAAATTAAATCCTAACTTAATTCTTTTGCAGAGTCCTGATTATGATAGAACTTCACTAATTTAGTTAATTGCCTGATTAAATCAATTGTTAGCTTAGAATTTCACTAAATTTTAAGGAAATCCAAGTAGACATATACTCTTTCCTGAGGAAATTCTAATTGATTCCACATTATTATTTCTAGGATTTAAGAAATCAATATCTTGTCTACTCTTAGTTCACCATTTCTTGTCAACTGATCAATAGTTGATTTCTATCAATGGTCGAGAAAGAAGTATCAGATATGCCCCTACCATATTTATACATGTATAAAATACTATACCAAACCTTTATATGACCCCTCCAAAAAATAGAACTCTACAATTAAAAATTTCATAAATATAAAAAACAGAACTCAAATAAATTTAAAAAAAAAAAAAGTGAAAAAAAGCAATACAACAAATTTTGAAATCACTGTAGTTCTTCATCAGTACAAAATACAGAAATTGAGATTTTCCATTTTTATTATTATTTATTGTAAAGTTGGCATCAAGTGAACCACTTAATAATTCACGGTTTACATCAACAAAGTGGATAATCAAGGAAATGTGAATGACATTTAAAAAATCAATCAGCATAAAGAACCTTGCTTGTCTTGTAAGTCGATAGAAGAAACTATCAAATGACACCATGAGAGTATCAATCTGCATTGAAAATGGTTGCACATTCAAATGAATGAACAACAAACAAAGTGTCTAGTATTAAAAGATGTAATATATCATAAAAAACAAGAAAACAGAAAAACTTAGAAAGTCATATCAATTAGCTTTGGTAGACCCTAAATGGTTCAGACTTGATAATCTCAATGGTTCAGACTTGCATTACTTTTTTTGTCGAGTTAGAACCACAATGGCGAGTGATTGCCAATTCCTTGGATGTCAGGACCCTAAATGGTTCAGACCCTAAATGGTTCAGACTTCAACACCCCAAGACAATCTCAAATCCACCACCACAGGCCCTGACATCCAAGGAATTGGCAATCACTCGCCATTGTGGCTCTAACTCGACGAAAAAAGTAATGCAATGTAGACACCATGCAACAACAAAAATCACAAGTTCAACATTCTTAGCTTTTAAAACCATCAATACAGCCCATAAATTGATGAAACATAGCCTTTGTACCATTCTCAAGTGGTTTCTACCCACTTGTATGAACGAAATACTGAATTTGCCAAAACCATTAAATTATGAAAAAAAAATAATAAAGATTCTTTTTAAAGGTGAAAAGAAACACATAGAACTGTACTAGAGTGCATAGTTAATAACATGGAAATAAAGAAAAAAAATGGAAACTAATTTTTAGAAAAGCTTGCTCCTCTTCGGCTCTTCCATTCTACAGAGACAAAAAATAGCATATCAACCCTAAATTCACTAATTTCGTTCAAATTTTAACAGGACGATAGACAATTTCTGCTTCCTTCTCCTTAACGGTACATCTTCATTCACTTGTTCACTTACTTCACCCAAATCACAGGTAGAGAGAATCAGAGAAACAGTAAAAAACAGAGCTTTTAGAGAGATAAACAAAATGACAGAAAGAGTGAGGAAAATTCAAAGGCGGGTTCACCATTTCCGTTTGGACTCTGTAGCAAATACAGAGAACTGCTTCTAGAGAGAAAAATAGAGCGATCCCTCTTTGAAGAAGTTTAGGTGCTTACGCCTCACAGCCGTTGGATCTCTTGAAAGGCAAGATCTGAGCTCGAAATGTTCGAGCGGCATCAAAGACCGAGTTATGCGGACAGACAAAGAAGACGCTGCTTTGCAATTATTTTCTCTTCCCCACTCCAAGAGAGTTAGTGGGAGAAAAGATTTAGAGGAAGAAAGAAATGGGAAAAATTTTTGGAGAGATAAAAAGAAAAAGATAAATATTAAAAAAAATTAAAGAGAAAAATAATTAATAACCATAAAAAAATAATAAAGAGATAAATAGGATGAGGAGGAAGGATTTACGTGGCCTTTTAAGTGTTGTATAATATGGGTTAGTTTGTCGAGTACTTAAAATGACGTGTAATATGGGTTAATTTTGACTTTTGATCAAAATTGAAAAAAAAATAATAAGGGCGAGGTTTATAAAAAAAATAGATAAAAATTAATATATATTTATAATAATTTCTCTAGATAATACAATACATGATGCACTATTTTTTATACAAAATATCTTGATATTGAGACGATCGAATTGAGAGTTTCTCAGCATCGAAGCAACCTCTTCCAATGAACATATGAGATGCGACTTAATTTGATTGTTTAGAGTCTCACTTTTATATAAATTTTTCCTAATGGTAATATATATTGAATTATAGTTTGAAAGGAAAATTGTTTCATGCGGGTTGGACTGCATTTCTACTTATGCGGTCCAGAAAGTGTAAAGCATCCATGTTAAAGATGGATGCAAGTAGGTGTTGCATCTAAAAACAATGGAAATTAACAGTCCAAATGTTCTTTTAATAGAATTGACATTCTTTGTTTTTAAAATTACATAAATATCTGTTTTAATTTTCGTTATTACCAGAATACCGAATACTTTATGTTATTATTCGTATGTTTGTTTTTTAGACTTCATAACAACTTTTTTAAAAAAAGATAAACTACCTATTTTTGTTTTTCAAAAACTGAAATCAAGCCAATTTTAGTTTTCAAAAAGCAAAATTTTTAAAATTTAAACTTTAAAATTTCAGTTTTTAGAAAACAAAATTTCTTGATTTTCTGATTTTTTGAAAAACCAAAAAATTTCTGACATACCAGCAGAGCAACAAGAGTCGAATCCTGAAAGATCATCAAACCCTAATTCGTTTTGGTGCAAGTTTTATCTTCCACTCCATAAATTGACTGGTTTTGAAGAACTTATTCATTCGTTTTATTGTTCATGCTTTCCCTTGTCTCTTTCGCTCTTAATATATCGGTTTGAATATATTCGTGATTTATGTTCTGTTTGATATCAGATTTTTTTGTTTTGCGCCTTTTGGCCTGGTTTAGGATGTTGATTAAAAGTATTGTCTTAAATATGATGCGTTTGATGTATTAAAAAATACGGAAAGGATTCGTTTGCTGGATCTAGAACTTTATTGACTGTTTGGTTGAGAGAAACATATAGGATTTGAGTTAAATTTCCCGTGCTAGACGCCCGAGCTAGAAAATTGCATCTTGCTTTATATTTGTATTTGTTCCATGGCATGAGCTTGATGCTCATGATGATTGCAATTCTTAGCTGATGAAATTTGTGAGATGAAGATTTTCATGAGGGTTTGTATTTTTCGGTTTTTCAAATATGAAAAATAAAGAAATTTGGTTTTTGAAAAATCAAAAATTTAAAAATTTCGGTTTTTCGAAAACCAAAATCAAGTAGTTTCGTCTTTTTTAAAAAAAGTTGTCATGAAGTCCAAACAACAGATATATGAGTAATAACATAAAATATTTGGTATTTTGGTAATAACGGAAACTAAAACAAATATTTATATAATTTTTCATAAAATTTAATTACTTCTTCATATTCATGATCTCCATGTTAGATATTGCATGTCATTAAAAATTAAGTCCTAAAATCCATCTCAAAAATAGATTTTATTAAGAGGCCTTGGCCATATATAAACCAGGTCCTTCTATGAAATGATTTCTCTCTCGGCAACGTTCGCATGATATCCTTGCCTCACTCAAATATATTATGGTACCATGTCAAAATTCATATGCTTAGGATTAAGGACCTAAAACCAATTCTAAAACCGATAAATCAACATTTGTTAGGATAAAATACATTCCTAATTCCTAAAAAGGTGCATAACTAATTGATCTAATGACAGTATGTTGAAATGGAGCACTCCCAACTTGTTTTTTTTTTTTAATCTTTGTGCTCATATAGATTTAGGTAGAATAGCAAATAGATATCCTAAGGTTCGGAGTCATCAAAGACCCAAATCATGTGAAAAATGAGAGTGGTGCTTCACACCTTTTCAGGTGTACTATTCATGGAAGTAAAGAAAAAGGTTTATATACGGTGATCAACATTATACTATTAAAACAGGGTAGTAATCATCATCCAAGTCTTATCTTCACTGTCCGAGGTCCGCATATTATTAAAACAATGTATATTGAGAGAAAGTATATGATAAGACTATTTAGATACAAGGTGATCACGATCGGTCTTCACTATTGGATATAAAATTAGTTGGTTCTATTTATTTCAGTAACCAAACTCAATGTTCAAAATAACTTTTTTTTGAACTTTGTGACACACCCAATCTATCAGATTTCACATGATTGTAAGTAATTGTGACATCCCTATATTAAAGGCAAATGGTCTCATTGTATATAATCTCATCTCTAAAATCCTCGGTAAGAGAGTTTTTTGATGACATAAAACCTTCCAATTTATCATCTCGACCTCGAGATATATAAATATGAAGGAAAAAAGAGAAAGAAAAAAAAAAGGATAAATGTTTCTATGTGACCTCAATAATATATAAGTTATATGTGACGCCACCTCTTTACCGTTCGATCCGAATCGAACAGCTATATTGTTCATACCATGATGTCATGTCAAATACTTTTTTATTTTTTTATTCTTTTCTACAAAATATTTTTGGATAAAATTTTGAGCGTCCCATCATAAAATTAGGAAGAATTTGGAAAAAAATAAAAAACAAATATTTTATATAAAAATAAATAACCAAAATGCCATTGTAATTTTCAAGGGTATTCTAATAATTTTTTATCAACATAAATATTTTTTTCTTATTTTTATCATGTGTGCCCCTGTCAAATCTATGCCTGCCCCAAATTTTGTTTAATTTTATCAATAGAATAAAAAATAAAAAAACTATGAGCCATCTTATAACGGTTAAGTGCTAGCTTATGATACTGTGACTCAAGCCATCTCAACCATCTACTCAGATCTGACGGCTGCGACTAGGGGTCACATGTATATATCACATGTATTATATATGTGGGTGGGTTACATACAAGGCTTCTCCAAAAGAAAATGCTTTCAAATCCTAATAGTAGGCATCTTATAACAAGTTATCAAGACCAAATACCAATGTATAAAAAATCGGGTGGTTCAAAATTTAAACGCAGGTTACACCCAATTAGATCGGAACTTTCGGTTCCGATTTCAGCCAGTTTTGGTGAAACGGCCTACTATTTTTAAAAATATATAAAATCCCCAAAAATAAGGGATTTTGTCTTAATACATTTTTAAATATGTATCATCATTTTGGCAAAGACGGGAAATTGTTTGGCCATAAATATTTTTTTTTACATTTTTCCCTTTTTAAAAAAATTTAAAAAATACCCATGGACACAAATCTATTATTTAAAATCTCTTTTTTTACATTAATTTTTAACTTCATTTGGATGTATTTTGTTTATCATGCTTTAGATATATTTGTAATATTTTATTATATTTTTTTTGTATTTTTTAAATACTTTTTTGACCACCCCGGACCTACGGTTTACCGGTTAGGCCGGTTGAACCGCTTTCGGCCCCATGTCCAGTTAAGTGTTCGGGTTCGATTTTTCACTGTTCATTTTTTTAAAAAAAAGTAGGCTTTTGTAGATAGGTAAGTGTAACAATCCTAAA